CATCATCCCTAATAGCATGTCCAACCTCCTCCCACCAATCACGTGCTCTGTCCTTTAGAAGATAGGAGGCGAGTGTAACATCCGTCCCTCGAGGTATTATTTAATTTTGTAAATTAATATTTGTTTTGGCTAATACTTGGACAATGGACCCATTTAAGTGGACCTTAGAAATGGGCTAAAAGTTGGGCTATCCATAAGTCGTACGTGGGGCATGGTAGCCATTAGATTCGAGGGACTCGGGTGTATACGCGCAGTGACAAAGAGGTATGACCAGCATACACGGGCAGATGCTAAACCCTAATTTTAGGGTTTAAGACTTATAAATACCCCATTATAGCCTCCCCTTTGGCCTCCTTACCTATCCCCCACCTTCAGAGAAACCCTAGTTCGTTTCATACTCCCATTTTGTCTGTGTTTGACATTTTTGGGCTTATTTTAGTGAAGAAAGGCTTGGAAGAAGAAAGGGGAGGTTAGAGAAGAAGCACTTGAGTATCTTGAGCTCAAGGATCTGGAACAATCTAATAATTTGGCTCCCAAAGGAGGTATAAAGCTCCTATCTTTCCTTTTAGAATCATAGATCTAGGGTTTTGAAGATTTGAACCTTTTTAGGTCCAAAGTTTGGATCTTGTCCATGCAATTTCATTTTTGAGCTCAGGGTTGCCACCCTTGAAGCTCAATGTGTTCCTTTAGCTGTAAAGTTGCAAGATTTGAGGCTTTTATGAAGCCATACAAGAGATCTAGCCATTTCCATGAAAGTTCATTATCATTTTTAGTGTCGGGCTCATTTGGTGGATTGCAAGCCACCAAGTGATCAACTTTAAGGGTTAGGACGAAGCATGGGACTCAGATCTGTAGTTTGGACGTAGTGTCATAAGGGATTAAGCAGTTTTGGAGAAAAGAGCTTAACAGGAGAGTACGCTAGGCGTACACACCAGTACGCTCAATGTACAATCCATTTCAGTAGTACACGTAGCGTATAGATAGGTATGCTCATCGTACGCTCAGTTAGTGGGTTTGTGTTATTGGGCTCCGTTTTGGTCCAAGTCTTAGACATACCAATAGTAGGCCGTGAAGGGCCTTCAGAAGTCAGTTAAGAGCCTAAGGACTAGTTAGGTTTGAAAGGAAACCCCAATTGAAGAGTTGGTAATTTCACCATGAAAACAAAATTTTAAATGATTTTTTTTTGAAACGGCAAACTAACTAACCTACTCCTAAATAACCACCTATGTCTCCACCGAGACTTGAATTAGGTTTTAAATGAAATTCCTAGATCTTTTGAGATTCATTGAACTGTTCAATTGAATGTTTAATCTCGATTATGCCCTGGAATACCGAGAATCAGAAACAAGGTGTGAATAACCATGCACATTAGCTTGGTACTCTCGATGTCATTTATCATCTATTCAATGTGCCGATTAACCACACATGCTCCATTAATCAATGATAATTTATGAGCTACCCATTACTATCCTTCATTAGTCACAGATTAGTGTGCCAATTAACCACACACACTCCACTAATGACCAATAAGATGTAGTGTGCAATTTCTTGGGTTAGCATCAAATTCACATTTTCCTAAAGTAACTAAGATTGGGAATTTATAAAAGGTTTAGTTACTTTGTATGTTCATTATACTTTTAATGAGAGCTTAGTGTCCTATCCTACTCGTTCGGCTAACGACCCTTCACTAGTCAAGAGTGCGGTGGGTAAGAGTAGATACCCAATGACGGTTTTTTTAGGCCGCTTCCTTAAACACCCCTTATAAACCAGCTTCGTGAATGAGACCTACTAACGGCAAGACTGACTTTTACTTATATATATATATATATATATATATATATATATATATATATATATATATATATATTATGGACTTATTAATTCTCTCTTTTAATTAAACATTAATTAATGTTATTAATAAAATCCAAGAGGGTGTATTTTTAAACTATTCAAATTACCAATGTTCTAAATTTAAGATATCAAAATTAAAGCTATTTAATCAAATTTTATATTAAAAAACCATGCGGTGCATTTTTGAAACTTTTTAAAATACTTGGGTTTAACCATTTAAGTTTTCTGAAATTAAAAAAACTCTTAATTTCAAATTTAAACTATAAAACCAAGAGGGTGTAATTTAAAACTTTTTCAAAATTACTAGGTTAAATCTTTGAATCAAAATAATCTTATAGTATCCATATTTAACCAAATCTTAAATTTTGATAAAGATATCCCACACCAATCAGAAAAATCGAATTTAGGCATTAAAAATGAATTATGGTAATAATCCAAATCAAAATCTGATCAAAAAATCAAAAAATTTGGCACTAGACGAGTCAACTCGCCGAGTAAGCAAGTGAACTCATCGAGTTCAAGGGACTCGTCGATTTCATGTGCCAGACAATAGAAAATCGATTTCTTGTTCTTTTGGCAGTCCATTTTTGCACCAATTCAGTTGAAACACATCCTAGGCTCTGATATCACCGATTCCTTTTGAGCATATCTACATTACTATGTGATCACGCAACCCTAATTGTTTTGGATCAAAGTTTTTCTCTATTGAACATGCAAATTGAATACCAAACCAATGAATCCTATATCTAGTATAGACAATTTTGAAATTCACACACACACACACACACACACACACACATATATATATATATATATATATATATATATATATTAGGGTTTGAAGATTACCTTGCTTGTTATACTGCAATAACAAGACACTCCTTGAATTCCTTGGCTCTTGAAAGCTTAGTGACCAAGGTGTTGCACCTCTAATGGAGTCACAAACACTCCATAATAGAAGCCTTAGACAAATTCTATAGGGCCTCCTATAGATTTCATCCAGTCATCCCATAGGAGTCCATCAGCCAAACTTTACAACTATCAATGATTTTCAAAACCAATCCCTCCATTATTAATTAGTTCCTTTAATCCCAATATTAATATCAAATTAATTTCTGATTAATTTCTAATTAATAATATGATTTCCAAATAATATATTAATCTTATAATACATTAATAAAATCATTCTGAGTACCAATTTATTATTCATATAACAAATCCTACTTTCTCTCTATCCTCTAGTCATCCTATCAAGTTGCATGAGTGAATGCAACCAAAAAGGACCATGCTAAAAATCAAATCAAGTACATACCAAATATAGTTTTGGGCTTAGACAGTTAATCCAACAATTCATACCTATCAAAGATGGTTTAAACTGACCATCCTTAAAGGCCTACAAGTATTTTAGGTAGCTTCACTTCTAATTCCCTTTGTCATTACAATAGTAGCAAGTGGCCTCTTTGGCATCAGTAATAGTAGGAAAATTAGAATTAGACTTTGACTTTGATCCACTACTAAGCGCTCTAGCATGGGCCTTGTCCTTCCAGTTTGATTAAGGAATGGCCTTACTCTTATTTCCTTTATTTTTCCTAATGGCTAGTACAAGAGCACTTGTTGCAAAAGAGACCTAATTTTACCTCATCTCTAATTTAGTTGTCTGCAACAAGTTTTGAAGTTGGGTCAATATGGTCTTTGTGCTATTCAACTGATACGTTAAAATAAACTGATCATAACTGGAAGGTAAGGAGTTCAGGACCATGTCTATGGCCAATTATTTGTCAAATGGCACATTAAGATTTTCCAACCACTCCATGTATCTCTACATTCTCTGCACATGGTTGCAGAAAAATTATCCATCCTTCAACTTTCAAGTTGTTAACACCTTGATGACCTCTTACCTCTTTTGATGTGCTTTCTTGTGAAACTTTTTAGCAAGATCCAAGCACATCTCGTATAGCCAATAGTCCTCAAAGAAATTTTGCAACTTGGATACCATGGTTGAAACCATTATGCAAGCGACCATTGTTACATCTTCATAGTGTTGTTTGTTGTTGGTAACCTCCTTTGGAGTAGTACTTGAATCATCAACTTCGAGTAGGTTTTTTTCGAGAACATACTCCTTGATTTTGTATCAAAGAGTCATTTAGATTTTGAATCCTGTCCATGTAGTTTGGAATAGCTAATTTCTATCTCGAAAAGATCGATAGATGAGTGAAGTATGACTTGTTGGTGGAAGATTAAGTAGTAGTGGCATATCCAGAAGTAGACATCTTTATTAAGAGAGATATTTTTAATTAGTTAACACAAATCCTTAATATATTAACCCAAAATAAATATTCACGGGTAGGACCTAAAATACAATTCACAATCAAGAAAAGGACACTACTAGAAAAACAACATTTTACGACACGCAAACAATGACACGTAGTGATTTACAATGCGTAAAAGCGTGCGCCCTAAAAATAATGTCATCTCTTCTAAAATTTGAAGGATAGTGGACACGCATTTGTGCGTGCCATGAAATTAGTGTTAGAAAAGAAAAAAAATACAAACATGAAGGGCGCTTATCTTAAACGTGTGACCTCTTCAAATGTCGCTTTATATTTTTGCTTAAACGCGCATTTTTAAAGTGGAAAACGAAATCGTGAAATTCTAAAATTTTGAAAGAACCCCGCTTCTACCCTCTCTCCTCAATATATCCCTTCATTCACTCCTTCCTTCTCTCTGTAAACCCTAATCGCCACTGCCATTGAACCTTAAAATCTCAATCCACACTTCACTTTCATTCACTCAATCCGGCCCTTAAATTTTAGCAAACCCACTAGAACCCTAGGTCATGCCTTTTATGATTTCATATCCTTCCTTCCCTAGTCGTATGTTATTCTGAGTCCTTATTTCTTTTCTCTATCACGAACACGCCTCTATTGCATCGCTCTGCTGACCGTCGTCATCTTAGGCTCTTACGCCTCCATCGTGGTCTCTGTGCTCATCGTATCATCATAGATGCCGTCTCTTCTCGTCGTTCTTCTCCTTGACCCTACGCAGGTAATATCATCAGTACTCCCTCTTATCGTCGTTCTGCTCCTTGACCCTACGCTGAGCGTGGCTATTACCTTCTTGTCTAACGACCCGTCAACCCAAATCCTAACATGGCTAACCTATGGCGAACTGTGATGGCAATTCACCGCCCAATGCCGACGACTATGGCGACGATTGGGATTCAAGCTTTTGACCTAATACACTTCATCAGAGAAAGAGAAGGAATATTCTATGAATTCAATCAGACGGTCAATTGTTCACTTCTCGAGGTCTGTTACGATCTCTATCTTATATTAGTTTTGTTTGTAAATTTTGGTATGATGCTCGTTTCTTCAATCGCTTAGTGACATGGCTTTTAACATGTCATCATCATAACTAGATTTGGATCAGCAAACAATAGAGTACATGAAATTGAAATTGAAATTGGTATTATCTAGCTGAATCGATATCGATTTGACTCCAAATTGGAGTCAATCGAAGGATTATTTGGTAAGGTGCTCATTCTTTTATTTTCAACAGAGATGAGTTTTGTTGAAAATACTGATGCCTACTGCTTTTTAGATTCACTTCCATTTTTTTTTCAGTTTACAACATCTTTTATAAGGGAGGTGATATTGCCACGACTCTTTTTTTTTAATCCACGGATTTTAAACCATATTGACTATTTTGCCCCTCATTTATATGGCCTTCTCCTTCTCTCACTCTTCCACCTAAATAGCTATCTTCCTTTTTAGATACCCTTCATATACATTCATCATTATCCTATATTACTTTGCCAGCTGGACATATACTTGTACATCATCTATACCGATACAGTCATCACAAACGTACATTACAGATATGTCTTGGAAGAACTCTATAGAAGTTGGATTCACTTTTATTGAGTAGGATGTTGAACACAACCCTAAGGCTGTTGAAGTTGATAAATCTGATATTTCTGGCCTTACATGGATGAAAGTTCCATGGACTAATCAGCTTGCTGTTAGAATCAAAGATGGTTTGAAGTAAAAGTTCACTGGTTTTCATGATCAGGTAGCTTTTCATGGTGATTCATGCATGTATCTTTATTACATATAAAACATCTTTTTCCTTATCATAGTGTTTTATTTTATTATACTGCAGGATGTTATTAGCCTGACCAACTTTTTCCAGAACTCCTGTGGGTTAACAACAGAAGAGAAATAGCTTTCTATTAGTGGGAAAAACCGGGAGAAGTTGATTTAAATGGTTGAGACCTTTATCCTTATCTTGTTTTGTAAAATCTCCAAATTAGTATATTGTGGAGCAACACACATTTAGTAATGTTGAGATGTAAATGAAACTAATTAACATGTTATTCTAACAACAAGCATTTTGACTGAGTGTGTTGAAGATGAGTGTGCAAAAGATGATGAACATCGGTTTGAACATGGATGAGAACACAACAGGGGAGGATGTTAAACACAACCCTAAGTTATCCCTACATGTTGATGATGCTGCTGTTCTTTGTGAGGTAAGTGTCACTTCTCAAAGACCCAAAACTTTCATTTCAAAACATATACTCATGATATGTAGGATTTATACTTTAAATTCATTCCTTTTAGTATTTTTCAACAAACATTTTAGCATGCATTGAGGTTTCTCATCATAATCTACCTTTTGATCCTAAATTTACAAACCCTATATGCATTCCAACCATCAAGAATGTAACTGGAAACTCATTCCACTGATATGTTACTTGAAATTGGACAGAATATGTATACCCATTTCTAAATAACAGTATAAGATATACCAAACATGGATGGCTATATCTAAAGACTTTACACACATCCCTTACATAACCAATTGGAAACTAAATTATGCCAAAGTGAATACATGGCCACAGGACCTTCATAGGAATGCTGATGACCAAAGAAAATGTTTCTCTGACTCCAAACATGTTTAAGGTGATGTTTTTCATTGTGATCTTGAAGCATCTGATAATGATTTCCATATCTCCCACTACCAATCATATGACACTATTCAGATCTTTGACAAGCGAGTTCGTGATGAGATGGTGCTTCAAGCTACATAGGTATCAATGTTCTACTAATTCTAACTTATGTTTGAGCAAACTTTTAAAGACATTTTCCTTTATTTAACATTTTTCTCTTGAATTTTATTATCACATGCAACTATTGCTGAAGTGGAGGATAAAACAAGCAATGATGATGTTGGTGTTACTGTGGATGACCCTGAAGAAATTATGCCAGAGTATGAGGGTTTTACCATAGATGAAAAGGAACTGGAAAATGCTGAAGGAGGTAGTGGAATAGATTTTGACAAGCTTGAATTGCCTAGTTCCCCATCAGTTTCCACACATGCTAGTATTAGAAGGAATGCATCCCTTCAGATTTTTTTACCTTTTATCACATGTTTGATATGTTTCAGGTTTTTTACCTTTTTCTTGTTATCTTTCCTTTAGACCTAGTCATATATTTCATCCGTTTTTCCTCAGATTCTATTTGAAATCTTACCCTTTGTCAAAAGCATGTATAAGAATATAAAGGAAAGTTATTCCCTGCTACAAATTTATATCTCATAAATGTTCTTTATCTTTTCTTTTAGGACTTTAAGATATCTCCTAAGGAAATATACTTCCGTTTTATGGCAACATGATTCACTTATTGAAGTTATAAATCTAATTTACCTTCTCACATCATTACTTAAATAGGAGATTTTACACAGTTTGTGATAATTTTGGTTTGGTTTTTGTTGGGTATGACAGGAGTTTAAGGAAGTGCACATTTCAGGGTCTAATCCTGAGCAGTATCAATCTTAATGGATCCATATAACCCATGACTTTTTCTGATGATATCACAACAATGTAAGAACACTTGATCTTTTACAGGGTATTGTTCTTGATTCTTATACTCAATAAAAAAAGAATTTCATATGATAAAAGATTGCATTGATCTGTCAATGAATCAACTTATTAGAACTATTTCCTTCTCATATGGGTTTTCTTGTCCTAGGCTATTATGAAGAAACTAGTGGAACTTAGTGGAAAGGGAATGACAAGATGAGCCACATCTGGGTAGGTGTCAGTGCTAGCTTGGAGCTTCTAGAACAAAAAACACTTCTAGGTATGCTGACCTTGAATGACGCTTGAGCCCTTATCTTTAATCTTGTTTTGTCTTTTGAACCAGGGTTAGAAAGTCATAATAGAAACTAACTTGCCGTTTTTGATAGTTTTGAAGTTTAGACTAGAAGTTAATAAAGGTCATGTGAATAACCTTCAACCAAAACAAATGAAATTTCTTATTTTTATTTTTTAATTAATTTGGTAGCTTACCAATTTTGGAAATATTTAAATAACGTGATGCTAACTTATGATATATATATATATATATATATATATATATATATATATATATATATATGGAAAAGGACCATTTATGCTACTATTGAGGGTCATATTTTGTCATTTGTAGATAAAATGTCATTATTTATTTAAATATTATGTTTCTACATGTTTCTAGGTAACTCAAAGAAAATTAGTAAGTGTGCTTACACTATCCACCTTGATCAATGGCAACATTGGGCCTTGATCAATGTCTTACACAGGGACTATACAAATCCTATGCTTCCTGTTGCATCTTCAACAATAGATGCTACTGATATGGTAAAGTCATTATTCTTTATAACAGCTTGAAGGATTGTTTTGTAAAATTACTCAACTTTTTGTTGTATTATATATTTATACGTGTATTATGCTTACTAGTTTGGCAACGTTGTTGATCCTAGACAACACTTATTTTGTAGTTGTGTTTTTTTTTTTTTTTGCAGGCAATATAGATATTGTGACTAACTTCATAGATTTAGAGTCCTTGAGTGGTATTATTAAGGAAGAGTGGAGACAAGTCAGACACACATTTAAAAAAATCAGCACATATCTTGTTTACAGTGAGGCACACATTAGGTTATTAGAACTATTAGTTTGTAAATTTGTGTTACGTCTATTGATTTGTTTTATCTTTCCATGGAACAACTATTTGTATGACATTAACTTTTGTACAATGTATTCTATTTTTTTATATGGTATTTTATTTTCTATTATGAGACATAAAATGCAAATTTAATTTCAAAATCAATAAATCTATAAATATTTTTTTAAAAAAAATATTAAATGATGATACGCAAAAATGTGTGTCGTCTTCATTTATGACATGGCCTTTCTTGACAAGGGCTTCCTTGATATGCACTGCGTGTCATAAACACGCGCGTCGTAAGGTTACGACACGCAAATGCGTGTCGTCTTCCTTTATGACAGGGCCTTCCTTGATACGCATTGCGTGTCATAACCGCGCGTCGTAAATGCGCGTCGTTTCTCTTTATGACAGGGCCTTCTTTGACGCTCATTTGTGCGTCGTCTGAGCGTTTTACGACGCACAATAAGCGTCGTAAAAGGCTGTTTTTCTAGTAGTGGGAGTGTCGTAGTCCTGTTGTGAATTTATAAAGGTAGGTAAAAAATCACTAATATAATATAAAATTCTTAGTTCTTTTGAGATTAGTTGAATCTTATCAATGGCATGTTTAATTTCAGATTATGCTATTCTATTTGTAAATGGGATATTGAGGATCATAAACAAGATGTGAATAACCATGCAAACACGCTTGACAACCTCGATATCATTTGTCTTCTCAAATGAATGTGCTGGTAAACCACACACTCTCCACTAACAATGATAATTTTCGAGTTATGCCATTCTGTCAACTTTATAGTCCAAAATTATTATGTTGGTTATCCACACACACTCCACTAAGGAATAATAAATAACGATGTGAGTTTGCATGGGTTAGCATACTTTTCACATTTTTCCTAAAATAACCAGAGTGAGTTTTTAAAAGAAGGTGCTAGTACTTTATAGATTCTACTTTTAATCGTGATTATGTCCTATCAATCCCATTCAGCTGACGATTCTCCACCACAGAGGAGAGCGGTAGGTGACCAAATCAGATTCGAATGGTTTACATACCACTTGATTATTATAGTAGATAATCAAGTAAAATCCTTCTTCAAAAGCCTTGGAAAGCATGCACCGTAAGCTTAGTGCCTCTAATGGTTTGTACCCAAACCATATAATTGGAATACTTGAGGAGAGAGGAGAGGGAAAGATTCTTCTTCTATTGAAATACAAGGGATGAAAATAAGGAGCCCAAGGGGTTCTATTTATAGGTTATTAGGAAACCTAAGAAATCCTAATTTGAAATGAAACAATATTATTTAAAATATAGTATTTATCAAGTTCCTAGTTATCATTTAGGAGGTTTCTAAAAACCCTAGAAGACCCCTCTAAAATTGTCTACTGTAGGGAATGTTCTAAACTTTTATATTGTTCAACTATTAAACAATTACACCTTCAGTCCTTACACAGTTAACTAATTCAATTAATCCCAAAATTAATTTCAATTAAATTCTAATTAATTAATAATTAAATAATACTATTTATAATTAATATATTAATCACATAATATATTAAAAAATAATTTATTGTTATTTTTAAATCATATAATAAATCAATAAATCAACATCTCTCTCCAAAAGTCATTCTACTCAATTACTAGTTATCAGGGAAACCCAAAAAGGACTTTGCTTTTAGTTCAAGTATATACAATTAGTTATTATCTTAGACACCTTAATCCAACAAAAACCTCACATACCTTAATTATAGATTCTTGTGAACCATTGTATTGAAACCACAAAACTAAACAATCCATTGATCTTCAGATTAGAATAATCAATTCTCCCATACTTAGGGTTCGAACTACCACCGAGTGATGTCTGTAAACAACAACGCCTTAGACTGGCTCAACCAAGTACCTACCAATCTAAACTCTCGAAGTGCATAATATGGAATTATCCAAATTCTTGGAGAATATAATTCTAAGATAGAGACTCCAAAATCTCCTACAACATTGCAACCTTATTCGTATGGAAGTTGACCAAAATAACATTTGATTGACGAGGTAACTTCTGAACTAAAACTCGTGTAATAAAAACTTGTATTTAAAGGAATAACCTACAACCTTACACTCTTGAAACTTCAAGAATCCATTATAGATGCTCTAATAATAGCTCTGACAAACCTAAGATAACCGTTGAACTCTCTTATCTTCCGATGGTATCTGACCTCACACTAGCTCCCTTTTCATCATCCAGACTTCCAATCCAACACTTGGAATCAATTTCTCAATACACAACGGCAACACCTGATCTTCTCAAAATTAGGTCAAAGGCTTGACTAGCAACATGATCCACAATCTGGCCACCGGACTAAAGAATAATCAATTTCGAACATCCTTATACTAAAAGACGAAAACAATTTACGTTGTGATAGTAACTGAAGCGAAGTACACCATGTCTTTTTCTATTTATCGACTGAAACACATCTGATATCTTCTCTCTCGAACACGAGAGGCTGGAAGAACACAACCCCATCATAGAAAATGGCATCATAATCCATTGGCCAACCATTCAGACTCATGTTGCAATTCTCGAGGTGATCCACAAAAAAATTCCCTACTTAAGTCCTTTGACTCCAAATGGCACTTCTTCAAACAAGGTCTTCGATACATTAGGATAAACCAAATCATACATGTCTTTACCATTCAGGCCCAAACTGCCATGACCACTTACAATCGAACAAGCACCATTAATTATCCTTATCTAGAGCAATCATAACTAAAAAATAGATACAAATATCCCTAGTACTATGCCATACTATCTTCCGGCAACCAGCTCCTCGATAACCTTTTAACTCTTCTTGATCCTCGTATCGAACCTTTTCTTCTAATAGTATTTATCTCGTACTACCTGGCACACATATCCATACTCATCCCAAGAATTATCTACGGGTTCTCAAGTTACTGATGGGTTTTTAGCATTCTAACACTCCTATGGTGTACATGCAACCCTAAATACCTTGGATCTATGTTTTCTCTATTATACATGCAAACTTTCATTTTCCAAGGTATTACCCTAACTAGAATACAAAACTTTGATACATGGGAAATGAAACAAGTTAGATAACATACCTTTTGTTGTAGCTTGTTGCTTGGAGCTTTAAGAGCCTAGCACCAATAATGTGAATGCCTCAAGTGGAATCACAAATCACCACTAACACCTGGAAAACTTAGATGATGACTCTTTAGCTAAAAAAAATCGGACATACTCTTGCTAATACTCCAGATGCCAATTTATTGAACCAAAGGGCTTCTTATATAGTGTGGTTACATTAGGGTTACACCATGTAAACCCTAATGTGCATGACTTTCGCATTCCTCATGATCTATGGGTTTTAACCTCCATGGAGTATCCATGGGTCACCACATGGGTTAAGCCCAACATAAGGACTCATGGATCATTAGCCCACATTATAAGAATGAATAATTTACACAATCAATCCCTACATATTTAATTAGTCTATTTTGACCACAAAATTAATTCCAAATTAATTATTGATCAATACTAATTAAATAATATGATTTCATGTTAATATATTAATAAATCATACATATCCTCTTCTTAAAAGTCCATATTTTTTCGGTGAAGTGCAACCAAAATGGACCATGCTAAATCGGGTCAAGTACATTCCAAATATAGTAATGGACTTAAACTCCTTATCCAACATTTACTACACTTGATCACTAATAATCACTGATACATGTGGTCTCACAAGCATACACTATTGATCTTCCTAGACTCTCCCTCTAGGATTCTTCTCTCTCTCTCTCTCTCTCACACACACACACACACACATATATATATATATATATATACACACACTAGCATACCTTAACACTTTTCATAGGTCACTAAAAATCCACACCCCACCTGGCTATCAGCTTGTAAGCTGGTACCTTATTATCTGATGAGTGAAACACATAACATGCCGATCTATCAGCATCAATGTCTACAAGTCGACACCTCCAACATCACAAGTTCAACAGGATCAGCTTATAGTATAGTCGTACAATTGTAATCTTTTGTATATTAGGCAGTTATTATAGATAAATATAAAATAGATATAGATCTCGTATCTTTATGATAAGATCGGTTCTTAGTATCGATTAGAAACAATCCCGTCAATCATGGGATATACTATTGGATTAGGTGTCTAAGTCGATAAATATAATTAGTATGTACTTGAATTGATAATAGCAATGTCCTTTTGGGTTGCCTTCAAACCTGGCAATTGAATAGGATAATTGTTCGAGAGAGAATAATGATTCATTAATTTATTACTTGGTTAATAAATTAATTTATTAATGTATTATGGATATAATATATTAATTAGAAATCATATTGTTTAATTAATATTTAATCAGAAATTAATTTGGAATTAATTTTGGGATTAAAGGAATTAATTGATACTTCAGGGACTAAAGGTGACAATGTTCAAAAGTTGAGCATCAAGCATTCTAAAACCTCCCTTAGAGGGATGGAAAGAAATCTGGAGTGTCTTAGGGTTTCCTTGGGATTTAAGGATGCCTTGGAAGACTTAGAGAGGAAGTTGAGGGATTAGATTTATCTAAGATACACCGGCCTTATCCTAAACCTTCCTTATCACCTATATAAACCCCTATAAGGTAGGATTTTGTCCAAGGGCACTCCAACAGAGTCTAGGGACAAATTTTCCCCTTCCCTTCTCTCTCCACAGTAAACCTTGGTTGCTAGGTTTGTTTGTGAGCCATTAAAGGCGTGACACTTGTGGCGCTTGCTACCAAAGTTCAAGATCTTCAAGGATCTGATTGTTATTACAATATAACAATAAAAGTATGTATCCTAACTCTAA